TTTTTTTTTTTTATTTTCTAGAGAAATCAAATATTTTAAATTAATTATTTGTGAAAATGAAACCATCCCCTGATTCGGGTACATGTTTCTGCATGACCTAGCTAGGCATGGTTTTTTATTTTTATTTTTGGAAATGAAATTCACCAGGCGCGGTTAAATATACATTAATAACCACGTATTGATGATCATAAACCTTTATTACTACGCATTATACGAGTTCAATACATAGTTAGGATTACGTGCCGCTTTTTTTTTTAAAGCAATGTCGTAGTTTAGTAAACATATGTAATATTGTTGCATTTTCTTATTGAAAAATAATATTGTGCATTTCTATATTGTGGTTTTACTTTATAATTAATTAGTTTCTTCACACTCTTCTTCCAAGGAAATAATAATTTGGATTCTAAAAAAACAAAAAAGTAAAAAGAAATAAGAAATAATAATTTAGCCAAACATCATAAAATTGACAAATATTCCGGACCTCCAAGGCACACGATCCTCAATAATGATTAAAAATAGAATTTCGAATGCAGTATCCAAATTCAAATATAAAAGCACACTGATTTATTTCGACTTTCGTCTAGACGACACTCAAAAAGAAACAAATTCAACAAAGGTCGAACATAAAAGAAAATACAAATTATTGATAGAACATACGGTAAATATGTCACGACTTATTTAATTATATGAAGCTAAGCTTATTTCTTTATTTATTAGCACTCCATCGATTTGAGACGATGCAGCTGAAAATAACTATGCAGTGGCTTTGGCGTTAGCCAGTCGGAGCCTCCTTTCATTGGAAAGTATCTTCGCAAATCTATTATAACGGAAGGGTAGAAAAGTCTTTCAGTAAAACATTTAATATGTATGTTAAAAAAAAATAAAAATAAAACTATGTAATTAAAAAAGTTGATTAATTTTTATAGTATATATAGTGTGACAGAAAATATATATGTGTAACCTTTTGAGTTCTTCCTGGTTGGGGGACCATTTGGAATGGGTTCGTAGAGACCCGTGGCCAAGTTGGTGTGAGTAACAGTTTTCTTGAGCAGCTTCTTGCCCGCTTCCACAAGATTGTTCAAGTTCTTTGTGGTAGCTATGTCCACAGAAGCAAGATCTCTTTGTAGTGTGTCATCCTAATTTAGATTTTTTTTTCTTATTTTTTTTATAGATTTTAGATTTAGTAACATCAAGAACATGGTCATTTAATCAGTAAAATTTGTCACCAATAGTACTAAGAGTAAAATCTAAAATCTTTTTCCATTGACTAAATGACATAGTCGTTCTTTTCAAATAAGTGCAATCAATGGAAAAATGTAATCATGTATGCCAAATCGTGTTTCAAATGACAAACAAATATAGTCTAAATTTTAATTAGGTGGTAAATTGACTTTTTATGGTGCACTTTTCATAAACTTATATTATAGCACTAACTCTTTTGACGACATGTGTCTTGTGAAGTATGACATAAATAATGCTTTGTATAGTCACTTTTACAAGTTAACTAAAATAATCTTGTATCTTTAATGAAGATTAGTCCTATTTATTTTTTTTAAGGGCGCGTATTAACAATTCCCTTATCTACCTAATTCTATCCTCACTCAATAATGAATATAGGTAGTTTATAATTATTTTTCAAACTAAAAGAATCATATTCATAAAATTTTTTACAATAACATTGTAAACTTATTAGGAAGGTTTAAATTTTAACCTAAATAAAAGGATTATATGTAAATCAATAATTTCATAGTATGCATAACGATGATTGAAAAAAAAATGAAAAAAATGTACATATTTATTAATAGAAATATAGAAAAGAGTATAGAGATTCACAACTGAAAATATTTGTAAAAGTTAAAAAAAGATAATAAATGAGATGTTTAAAGTGAAAATTAATGAATAATAATTCAATAGAAACAATAAAAAAAATACTAGATTTAAAAAAGAAGAAATAAGAACAACAAAATACAATGAAGGAAAAAAAGTTAAAAAAAAATACAATTTAAAAAAAAAAAGGAATAAAACAAAAACCTTGAAAGCAAGCATGCAAGCATGTTGAAGTACAAAAACTTCAACACCTTATCCATGCTTCTTATATTAGGTAATATATTTGTAAGATAAAATTGGTTTGTACTTCAGTTTTGTACCCACTTCCTTAAGCTTTAGGTCTTTAGAAGTGGAGAAACTTTTCTCCTTTTCTCTTTATATGTTACTTTCCTCCTTTTCTTTTTCCTAAATTTTCTCACGTTTTCTTTAAACCTTAAAATAATCTAGGTTGAGTCTTATTCATAAGAAGGCAAGTATGCTTCGGTGGCAAGCTTCTAAAGGTGAACCACATAAAGTGTGGTTAAATACAGGCAACATAAAATCTTGACTATCTACACACTTTTTAATTGATCTTATCCTTTCTTGATATTTATTACGCTATTCTCTCACCACCACAAGCACTTAGAATGAGTCATCCCACCAAGTGTCTATTCAATTTTCCACTTTATTTTCCCGATTACCATACCTGATGCACTTTCTTCTCATAGGTGGTCTTTTCTTATCATGCTTTAAAATGATTTATATGATTCCTCTTATAATTGTGACAAAACTTGGAATATTTTGGGATTTTATTTGCATAAAGAAAAGAAAATTTCATAAATCTCATTAATCTAGGATTGGCTAACGGGACATTACACCTAAAGACGTCTCAATACCAATAGAGAACTAGGACCGGCAATTTCAGACACGATACGATGAAATGATATGAAAACGACACGAGATAAATGTGTTTGGACCGCACGATTATTAATTGGGTCGTTAACGGGCTGACACGAATAACACGAAAATAAATGGGTTGGATTCGTGGTAGCCCGTTTAACACACTTAACCCGTTTAGTTATACGGATCGTTATCGGGCCGACATGGCCCGGCCTGTTTATTAAGCCCATATATATATATGTAAATTTTTTAGAAAGAAACTCTCTTCTATTATTTTTGGAATAGTAAAATATAAGAATAAATAGGCTAAGGAAGAAACCTTATCTTCCTAAAAGAAACTATCATAATTAAAGATAAACTCTAACCTAAGAAACCTTATCTCTAATGATAAACCATTTATCCTCTATTTTATTTAAATTCAAATACAAAGACTTTATCTACCCAACAATATATATATATATATATATATTAGAAAAAACTCTATTTCTGACTCAGTCTCTTGAAACTAATTTTGGTTTTTAGAGCGTAGTTGGGCATTCAACCTCAAGGCTCAAAGAAGACATTTTCCTATATTTATTTTATGTTTTGTGCACTTAAACATTCAAATGTTTGGTTATGTTTTCAAACTTATTTAAATGTACTTGGCTATGTTTTCAAACTTCTTTGGATGTTTGGTAATTGGTATGTTTTGAAACATATATACTTGATAATCTAGTAGTATCATATATGTGTGTGTTTGATATTTAGATATTTTAATGTGTGTTGGCTATTATGCATGATTTTATATTAAGTAGTCAATTAATATAGTTTTAAATACAATATAAAATTCCACTATTTTTGCCAGTTGGGTCATAAACGGGTCATGAACGTGTTTTTTTTCGTGTCGGCCCGTCACGGCACATTTAGTAATCGTGTTTGTGTGTCGTGTCGTGTTGACCGTGTTATTAGCGTTTCGTGTTCGTGTTTGGGGTTCTGACACGTTTATTAATCGTGTCGTATTCGTGTTCACTATAATCGTGTCGTGTCGTAATCGTGCCGGCCCGAACACGACACGCAAACACGAATTGCCAGCCCTAAGAGAACCCAAGGCTTTCACAACTTAGGTACCTTCAAGTATACTAGTTGTAGTTTAAGGAAGGAGAGACAAAATAACAATTTTTTTTAAAACTTTTTTAAAATGAATAGTAAGGTTTATTTAAACTAAAAAACACTAATAAATAAATTATTTATATTATTCACTCTAATAAATAATTTATTTGCTAAGAATAAACAATTTATTTATTACTATGGATAGTTTATCAGTAAATATGCGTTTTTACTTTAAAATATTTTAAAACATATTATTTACTTCAAACGGGTTTCAAAATGACGCAATTAAGTCACTTCAATTTCTGTCTATAGTTTACGTTTTGGTATCATGTTGGTTTAATTATTAGTTTTTTATATGATTAAAATACAAAAGCACACTGATTTTATTTCGACTTTTGTCTAGACAACACTCGAAGAGAAACAAATTCAATAACACAATTACACAGGTCGAACATAAAAGAAAATACAAATTATTGATAGAACACACGGCATATTACCGTGACTTATTTAATTATATCAAGCTAAGCTTATTTCATTATTTATTAGCACTCGATGGATTTGAGACGATGCAGCTGAAAATAACTACGCAGTGGCTTTGGCATTGGCCAGTCGGAGCCTCCTTTCATCAGAAAGTAGCTTCGCAAATCTGTTAAAATAGAAGGGTAAGAAAGTCTTTCAGTAAAACAATTAATAAAAATAAAAAAGGTTGAATAAAAATAAAACTAAGTAATTTAAAAGTTGATTTAATTTTTATAGTCTATATAATGTGACAGAAAATATATATGTGTAACCTTTTGAGTTCTTCCTGGTTGGAGGGACCATTTGGAATGGGTTCGTAGAGACCCGTGGCCAAGTTGATGCGAGTAACAGTTTTCTTGAGCAGCTTCTTGCCCGATTCCACAAGATTGTTCAAGTTCTTTGTGGTAGCTATGTCCACCGAAGCAAGATCTCCTTGTAGTGTGTCATCCTAATTTATATTTTTTATAGATTTTAAATTTAGTAACATCAAGAACATGGTGATTTAATCAGTCAAATTTGTCACCACAGAAGCAATAGTACTTAGATTATAGCACTAACTCTTTTGACGACATGTGTCCTGTGAAGTATGACATAAATAAGGACAGATTAATCCTTTTTTTTTTAAATGGCGCCTATTAACAATTCCCTCATCTACCTAATTCTTTCCTCACTCAATAATTTTTTTAAAAAAAATACAGTGTTATTGTGAAAATGAAAAAGGGGAAACAAATGCGGCACCAAAAAATTAAAAGCAAATAACTAATTATTAACAGTCAATTAATGTTTCATCCATAAAACATATATACATACACATGTATATAGAAAATGCCTTGAATCTGGCAGCTGGACTGAATGGACACACATATATAAGAAACGCCTTCAATTTGACAGCTGGACTAATTTAACAAATATGACGGTTTTCATACTGGTGTCTAACACCATTCTTTTGTTTGCAAAACATTTAGTTATCTTAAGTGTAACATTAAAAAAAATGGAGTTTAACACCTGTAACATTGAGTATTAAATTTAAAATATTTTTAAAAGTAAAGAAACTTACATCGATTCTAAAATAGTTACTTTCACATCCCGCGGCATCGAAAAACACACAGTTGTAGTAATTAACCGTGTCCACGCATGATTCCGAGAATGCATCAATGATAGGAGACGAACCATTATAGTAAATCCAGGAGATAGGCCCCCAAGAGGCAGACAATTTTGCATTGTATTTCTGTTGAGTCTTGTTTGAACCCGTTCCAAGTGAGATCACCAAAACTTTAGTGTAGTCCACTGGCCCAGGCTTGAAATCTGGGTTCTTTTTAGTAACTTGTTTGGTGACTTCGCTCAGAGCAATAAAAGACTGAAAAAAAGAAGATCAAAATCATGCAGAAATTAAAGGTCACATAACATATATAAGAGCTTGTTTGATAGAGGAGTTTGAATCCTGGTTCAAATGGTTCTGCTATAGTGGTTTTTTTTCAAATTTTAATTTAAATTATCTAATTTGAATCCATCAATCAAACAAGTCTTAAAATGTTATTTTATATATTATTTTGAACCACAAGAATGACATATGTAAAGATTTCTTGTTTCTACCGGATTATTAGCAGTAACACCACCATCGATGAGGTTGAACTCGTGCGTTTTTCCACTCTTGTCTTGGTTTGTGAAATAATGAGAAGGAAGGTATGTCGGGGCTGCCGAGGTGGCTATACTGATGTCCGTCAAATGAGCATCTAATGCTGAGGCTGGTGGGACCTTCACAAATAAGAAAATTGTCCATTTATAATTAATATTTAAAATAGGATTACTCTAACTATGGTGAATATTATTCCAGTAAAAAGAATGCTAAACAGAAAACTCGTGTGTGTATATATATATATATATATATATATTGTATACTTACAATGAAAGAGGAAAATAGTGTAGGCTCCAGCTTCTTGATGTCGAAAGTAGGAATAACAATGTTTGTCAAGGTCTCATGCAACCTTGTAGTTCCCAATAGACCATTGATTAGGCTGTGAAGATACTTTCCGTTGTATTTCGGTCCAACAGCATTTTCTATCGAGCCCAAAATGGAGCCGAAAAACCCACTGCATTTTTTTTTCCAAAAAAAAAAAAAAAAAGCAAACATTATAATATAATATATGTTCGATCAAATTTCACGAGTGAGATAAACTAATTTAGTGATGGATAATGATCTTAATTATGTTCTATTATTATGTTAATCTAACACAAACCTTGCTTGTGGGAAAATTTTGGGGCAATGCTCAAGGTAAAAAGGGACAATGCCATTGGCAGCATATAAAGGCCGGTTATCTTTGTTGGGCGCCGTTAACATGGCCGTAATAAGACCACCCGTGCTAGTCCCAGTAATCACGTCAAAGTAATCAGCAAGCCTCACATCTTTCCCATCTAGTTCCTATATAATTACAACACATTTGAGCCTTATTAAAATTCACGTACAATTACACCATACATGATACACACACACACACACACACACACACACACACATATATATATATATGGCTAATTACATAAATATACCATTCAGTTATATTTTTTCTTTTTTTGAAAATTTGTTATTTTAGAAACTACAAAGGTATAAATTGAATTTGAAAAACATTTTTCATTTTCATCCTTCATGCACTGCAAAATACAAATACACCTTTAATTAGACTGAATTTGTATCTTAAAATATTTTTCTTGAAATAATTCTCAGAAACTATTTAAAAGCATTTTTGTCTTTCCACTCAAGTTTTTTTTTTTTTTTTTTTTTTTTTTCCACAAAATGCAAGAATGAAATTGAAATAAGTTTTTCAAATGTAAAGGACGCTTTTGTAGTTTCTAAAATTAGAGGAATAAATAGAGAAAATCTCAAAACTAGGAGGCTTTTTTTTTTTGGTGGCAAAAAAGAGTGGCCTTTCCTTGAGTATCTTACTTGAAGTTGAGATTCAAGGTACTCAAGAAGAACCCCCGGGATGATTCCTCTAATTCCTCCTCCATCTATGCTGAGGATGGTGATAAGGTTTCCCTTTTTGGGAGGTTGAATTCTCTCGGCCATTGAAACTAGTGTTTGTGGAAAGTTGGGAAAAAGAAAAGGAAAAGGCTTGTATTATAATGTAAGCAAGCGTTTGTATTGCTTTGTGGTGGAAGCACCTAGGGCGAGTGGTCCTATTTATAGTTGTCATTAACGTGTAGGTATGCACAAGTTAAGCTTGGAATAACAGAAAAAAAAAAAAAAACAAACGTTCTGCGAAAGAAACACATGTTACTCTTTGTGCTCTATTCTTATCTGATTTTTTTTTTTTTAGTTACTATACCCGCCAACAATATGGAATTATTTATATTTGTTTATTTATTTTACACAAGTCTGCATTCCATTTATAAATTTCTTAAAAATATACATGACATCCTCTTCATAACATAATGTTATTAATTGTATGCTTAAGTAAAATTTGTAACTATTAATTAAATTTCTTAAGAATTGAAGTGTCGGATCCTGCGCAGCGCGCCCTATTGCCTTTTGTGTATCCCCTCTTTCGTGCAGTACTTGCCTGATATGTGTCAAACGTTTTACTGCAACGATTCAAATGCCCGCACCTGTCAAGCATAAGGCATCCAAAATAGGGGAATTATTTTGGAAAATTTAGGTCTCGTTTATTTCACAATTTTGAGTTTTTAATTTCAGTTTTATTACAGTTAAAAATTCTTAAAAAATGTCACATTTAACTTTTTATACTACAGTAAAAAACTCTCACAGAAAATCACATATCAACTCAAATTATAAACTCAAATTCAAGAACTGAACGAGGCCTTAGTGTCACTTTTTAGGATTATTTTATTTAGAATTTTACTTTTGATTGGAGAAGGTATTTTTGAGGCTGTAATTTGGAAAGGAATAAGATTTAGAAGACTCGTGACACCTTCATTTAGTTTTATTTTCTAATTTTTCTAATTCTTTTTTTTTTGTTCTTTATTTATATTGAAACTAATATTTTGTTAGTTCGTTTACCGGATTATGAGTATTTTGATTTTTCTTATTTTAAATTAATTAATGTTTTATTTCCAATTATGTTGAGTGTTTCATTCCGTTCTTAATGTTGTGATTACCCGATGAACAATTGTATGAATTGGCATTTAATTTGAGACTGAGAAGTGATGAATAAATATGCCCATGAATGTGATGCCATAGGAATTTCATAAGGTAGATAATTATGAGTCTTATGTAGTGCTATGATTTCCCATTCTTAATGAGTTTTAGAATCCTGACCGAGATGTAGGGTCTGCATTGTTCAAATATGATCATTGATTAGTGGTGTCAAATGTGCCGAGCCAAGCCGGCATGGCACGTCCAACACCAGGCCCCTTACAAGCCTGGGCCGGGCCTGGTACGACCCTGCACAGTGCAGGGCAGTGCCTGGGCTGGGCCTGAGGAGAAAAACTCAGGCCCGCGGCCCTATCCATAAGGCCAGGGTCAGGCTTGGACCCAGGCCTTTCACAGGCCGGCCCCGAGCCTTGTATTTTTTTTAAAATTTAATTAAAAAAAATATCATATGCCCCCCAAAAATGTTATTTTATTGAATTGACATAATGTAAATAAGTACACATAAATGACTACCTCGTTAAAAACCTTGCCAAGTAAAACCTCTAGGGAGATCGGGACAAAACCGTAGCGAAGGAAAAAAGAATGCAGTAGCTAGAAGCCTAGGAATAGTAAATTACAAACCTAAGTGTTTCCAGAAGATTCTGTTATTTCAAAGTTAGAAAAATATTCTTGCATTGAATCATCTGTGTATTGTTGTTTTCGTCTTCTGGCATCTTCCCAGTCTTTAACGCACATTAGCCCCTCCAAGATATCTGGATGCATTCTGCTCTTCTTCTCGTCAAGAATTCGGTTGCTTGTGCTAAAAACTTGCTCTGATGCTACCATTGACACTGGAGTTGTCAGAATGTCACGAGCTATTACGGACAGTGCTAGAAAATGATCGGTCTTGCTCTTCCACCACTGTAAGATGTCTAGTTTGTTGTCATTGATTAGAAAATTTACTTCAAAATATTTTACTAGTTTGGTAGACGCTTGTGTCGATGAAGATCCTGGCATTTTCTCTTTCTTCTTCAAGAAACTCCACAATGATCCTTTAGGCCCTGAACTGCTAGTTGATGATAAAGTTCCCTGTTCTTTTTGACCTGTGCTGTATTTTACTTCATACAAACTAAAAACCTTTTCTAACATTTTCTTAGCATCAGTAATATTTAGTTGCATATCTATTCTTAAATTTCTTGCTGTAGCAGTCATCAATGAGTCAGTCCCATCTACTCCGCACCTAGGATCTAAAACGGTTGCCAATGCATATAACATAGGACAACCAGACCAATAACTTTTAAATTTATTTTCCACTAACTTAACTATGTTTTTAAAAAGTCATGTGTAGGGAGAAGTGGGAGAGTATCAATAATGAGTACTTAAAGAAATCTAGTAAATTAGAAATGTCAAGTAAGAAGAGGAAGGAGAATTCTAGAGGTTATAATAATAACGAGTCCTCTACTTCATTGTACAATCATGGAGGTTATAATTGTGATCAAATGAATGATGGTACTGCTAATTCTTCTCCTTCCCCTTCTAATGCGAATGTGGGAAGTACTACTCATGATCATAGTTGTTTTCCGGCTTTCTTGATTGGAGAAGGGTCAGAGAATTTGTGGGAGAATTATGGGCTCAAGATTAACAAGGGAGGGCAAAATCAGTGATGATATGTTGATGATGATGATGATGATGATGATGATGATGATGATGATGATGATGATGATGATGATGATGAAGATGGAGCAGACGACAGTACTTGTTCAGTCGTTTGAATCAGCAGGCCATGATGTAAGCATGTGGGGGGGGGGGGGGGGGGGGGGGGGTGGGTTGTTTTTAAATGTGCAGTAGGATAATAAACTCTAGAAAATAATTCAATAGGATTGTAAAAAACTTCTAGAAATTAAAAAAAAATACTCTCCAATCTGTCAATCAGTATAAAAAATTAAAAGTTGATCGTTCTTACTGTTTACATACGTTGTGATAAGCTGCGAATACGGGAGTGTTGTCTTCAACATTAAATATGTGGAATTCCACCTATGTCTCACGTCAGTTGGAAGGTTTCTTAGGTGCAGCTGACTGTTCCTGCAATATTGTTTGAATTCATAGAGCCGAGCTCCAGAATTAGATATGAATGATAATGATTCTCTAATATTTGTTAAATTAGATGAGATATGTGTTAGCGTTTATGCCCTTAGGAATAAATGTAACAATATTCTTTGAGACATTTTGACTATTAATAAAGATTTGTTTATTTCATATATCTATGTATTGTCCTCTTTATGTTCATAATAGTTGAATGTATGATAAGCAAACTGAAAGTCTAAGACTGTCATTCTAAATCTTTAGGTCGTGCATGTAATGTGAAGAACATACGGAAGACAAGAATCTAAAGATGATAGTCTAAATCTTATGATCCACAATCGAGGGAATAAATTAAGTTGGGCGCTTTATTCATGTTAAGATTGTTATGTTGTCTACTTTCTAACGGAGACGGCTTGTCTTGGTTGTCGGAGGTGGGACTCCATGGGTGGAGACATTGATATAGTTTCTAATGGTGAAATCTATATTGGGTCGGACCAAAGTTGAATTGTTTTAATTAATAATTCTGTTTGAATAAAACAATTCACTTTTGACGAATTATATGTTGTCATCCTAATCCTGAGATGGATGATGAACCCGTATGCTTGACTTGTATCCTTTGATGTACTAAAGGGAGACATCCAGACATTATGTAAAGGTATGCTTACCGGTACATTGGGGGTATGACTCGTGTATGCATAGATTATTTATTCATAGATAGTGGAATCTATAGCTCCTATAGAGAGTCAATGACATCCTCTTATGCATTATCAGTTGATTGGAAAATACGAGCGCTCGACCATTAGACTACTCTGTGTTATCGAATGGTTTACTGTTTGTAATTGTATGAATAGTGTTTTTCTGATGGTATTATAATGGAACATAAGATAAACTTAATCGGGAAGGTAAAACGGAACTTGACCTCAAGTCGATTGTGGATACCCTATGGGGATGATACACTAATATATTGAGTCATGGACTAGAGCTAATCAGAGCTTTGTAAATACACTATATAAATCGAGAGTGCAGCTCTAGGCTTTTAGTGGAATAGCGCTAGAGTTTTATAATCACGAGACGGACTTATTGGTTTACAAGTAGCGTTGTGATTATAGGAGCTTGATTTATATATATGTCCATCGGGTCCCTTTGCTAGCTCACATAATTTCTTGTAACGATACGGCGTATTTCCTACACATTGGTAACTTGTGTTATTTCCGTAAAGGAGGTTCAAAGTTAATTCATGGGTGATTTATTGGGTGAATTAATTGATAAATTAATTCTAGATAAATTGGTTAAATTATTGTTTTAAGAGTTGTTTAATATGGGAAGACTATTAAATGACTATTTTGATCAGGCAATTTCTCTATTGGGTTGCTTGAATCAAAACTGAGGCTTTATGCAAGTTTTCCGGGTTAAAAAACTAGGAAAACAACTTTCGTCAGTGCAGACAGGTCAACCGGTCCGGTTGAACGGTTAGTGAAGATAAGTCGACCGGTGAGTTATAACGTCTCTGTCACCGGTCGACCGGTTGTAACGTAAAATACATCCTGACGTGGCAAAATTCACTCTGGAAGCGATTAAGACTTTGGGAAACCTAATTATTACGGATGTATGACTTCCTAAACACTATAAATAGCCTATTAAGTCACATTACTCATGAGATCACTTGAGAGACTTTTTGGAGGCTATTGATAAAAGATTCCTAAGAGGAAAAATTGTTTAATTCTCAAGAACAATTTTTTCTTTGGCTCTCTTGTGATTGGAAGGAGATCAAGAATACCAAGAGGAGATTGAACGATGTGTGACTATCCGCACTCCGATCGTGAAAACGAGAAGAGCAAAGAAGACCAGTTGGTTGAGGCTCTTCCGGTTGCTGTTTGGAACACTTTGATCTGTCAGACGTGCAGTTTCTTAAAATCTCAAAAGGTATGATTTAGATATTTAGTATTTATGTTATATAGCATCATGAACATGTTCTTGGTTGGCTTTG